GCTGACCACACATCTCAAGCTCGCCCAGCTCTTCCCTAGGGCAGGATGGGTGCATTCTGGGTGCAGAGCAGCAGTCTGGCCCTGGTGAAATCAGCTGTGCAACCATGGCTTTGCAACAGCCCCGGTTTCACCTTTTTCCTCCCATTAGTGACTTGAGTGTGCAATTTTTGCCCTCTGTTTTCACTCCTTTTGCACCTGACTCCCTCTGCAAGCATGGGAGTCAAGGTTTTGTTGGGCAGAGACTGACCGAACATCTGAAGCAGAGGGGTGGCTCCCACTTGCTATCTCCAAACAATTTCTTTAGCTTCTATCCAGAGGCACCAGTTCTGACTTTCATCAAGAAGCCAGATTCATGTTTACCATTCAACCTGCCTGTTTACTAACAGCCAAAGCAGAGGGGGCTCTGGCTTTTGCAAGCACCAACATGCTTGTGGGCAAGAGTCCTGCGTTATCACAGTTCGTCAGCCACGAAGAACGATGTTGCACAACAAGGGAGGAGGAAATCTTCAGGTACAAATGCGCATGTGTATCCTGTGTATAAAATCCAGCCTCTGCCTGCTCTCACCCTCATGCTGGAGATGAGCTATAGCTGCCCTAATGTGCAGAAGAAGGCAGTGGGATGCAGCCCCAGCTCCTTGTGTTCAAGCTCTGGGTGCAAGAGCATCTTCCTTCTCCCTGGGTCTATTATACTATCACAGAACCCCAAACTGGTTTGAGTGGGAAGGAACTTTAAAGCTCATCCAGTTCCAATCCCCTGCCATAGGCAGGGACACCTTCCACGAGAGCAGGTGGCTTCAAGCCCTGTCCAACCTGGCCTTGAACACTGCCAGGGATGGGGCAGCCACAGCTTCTCTGGCCACCCTATGCCAGGGCCTCACCACCCTTACATCATCGAGCCCAGTCAACATCTAAGCTTGTGGAATGCTTTTTGATACAGGCCTCAAAAAGCCAGCCAGATGGGACAGGGAATAAGGAATGTACTTCTAGTGTTTTCTATTTCTGGGATGTTTTTTTGTCAGTTAGTCAAATAAACAAGAAGTTTTTGGCTACTCCAGACTAATCAATGTTCTGGAAGTCTCTTGGAAGTTGTTTGAGTTCCTTCACTACCTTTGGTACTATCAGATAAAGTAGGGAAAATAACAGGAATCAATAATGAAGTGGTAGATTTTAGACGTACAAGTGGATGCAAATAAATGATATCACAGACTAATTTTAGAATAGAATTTAATATAGCCGGTGACAAAACCTTGTGTAATGTTCCCCGTGCCACAGGCTTACAACATTTTACAGCGTGAATGATACCCATTGTGGCACCAAACACGCGGCTGGAGCTCAGAGGATTTTGGTTTTTATAAGCTGTGGTGTTTTACAAACATCAGAGCAAAGCTTTCTGGGGTTTTATTGAGCTGAAAGGGCCAAAATCTCTTTTGCAGGTGGGTGAAAGGTATTGTACAATGTAATTTTGTGCTCTTTAGTGTTCCTTTGAAATGGGCACAGATCTATGGGTGAGTCTTTCCCCTTCATTACCAATATTTGGAGGAGTCAAAACACCCTAGGGAACAGTCCTGGAACCAAAATGTTTGGCAAATACCACATAACAACCAGCACTGGATGTTCAAGCCTCCCCCGTGTGTCCCATCAGCACAGAGGAGCCATCTTCTGCCTGTGCCTAATTTAGGGCCTGATCCTATCAAATGAAGCAGGTTAATGCGAAGAAGCGAACGAGCTTGTTCCAGTTGCCTCATCTGGTGCAAGCAGAAGGTTTACGTGCTCTTGGCTTACGACATCGCCTGCAATCTCCCTGGGCCAGGAGCCTGGTGTGTAATTTTTTCCAAGTAAACAACTCTGCACTCCCAAGGTCACGGTGTAAATAATAATCAGTTGGAAATCACCTGGGTATTTTGCATATCTCCTTACTGTAGCTTGTAGAGTCTGGCCATGGAGAGGGTCTCAGCAGGGCACAGCATTTCCATTTGATGGGGACAGCATGGGGGAAGCTCTGAGTTCATCAACAGCAAAGCTAAGAGCCTTCTCTTGCTGTTGAACATGGTTTAATTCTATTAAAATGAATATTATTTGAGTATGGTTGTAAAATACATATCAAAAATGTTTGAGGGTAAAGCTTGTGAAGTGGACTCACTGAGTACCTGGATTTTGAGTAGAGCCAGAAATGAAAGGATTCATTCAGATGCTAGTCCCACAGACTATGAAGTTTTATTTTCCAACCCACAAGCAAAAGAAGATGGAAAGAAGAATCTTTCCCTGTCACCAAAGCACAAATCACTTTTCCCAGCAGTGCTTGCAGCAATGTTTCTAGCACAGCCCAAAGTGAGGAATGCAGAGCTCCCTGACTGTAATGACATGGTTGGGTTTGTGCTTTGTGGCACATCCAGGGCACTTTTGCTTGAGCAGTGGTGGCTGCTGGGTCCGTCACTTCTTCTTGCTCTGGGGCCAGTGGTTGCTCTGCTTGATCTGCTGGGTCTCGATGTTGGGAACCACCACGGGGCATTTCTGCTGCACGGCCTGGGAGGACCCAGCACCTCCAGAGCTGAGCTCTGGGCCTGAGTATCCCCCCGTGCTATAGCCCGATCCCCCACTATAGTGCCCTGATCCACCACCTGCCCCTGGGATGCATCTCGGTGATGCATCGTGTCCGTATCCACAACCTTCTCCCGCAGTGATGCCCATTCTCTCGCTGTGGCAGCCAGATCCTCCACCTGAGCTGCCAGTGATGCTCCTGCATGAGTCCTCACTGCCATACCCTATTCCTCGCCCAGCACCATAGACAGGGACTGTCCCCCCTCCAACTCCCCAGCCAGCCCCCCCACTGTCCCCACTGGATATTACAACAGATCCATCACTGCTACATCTGTACCCCCCTGATACACTGTGGGTGGATGATGTTGGCATGGGCTCGAAGGATGAAGCTCCCCAGCTGTACATGACCGAGCCTTCCCCACCACAGAAGAAGGAGCCATGTCCCTGGATGTTTGGGAAGCCGTGGTGCGAGGAGATTTCATTGCTGTAGCCCCTGTTCCGCCGGCCGCATCTCATTCTCCCTCGGAGATAGTGATAAATCTGAAACAGGAAACAGTCATACCCCAAATCTGGACCATTTTGATTCAATTTTTGTACCATTTTCAGGTGGTGTGGTCAGAAAAGCGTGTATGTGGGTGAGTGTGGGACAAAATTGGGTTCTACCTAGCTGTTCTTCAAATGCAAGAGTGTTTGATTCTTACTTGCAGAGATTCTCTTTTTCTCCAGGGTGTATTTTTAGAGAAATCAAAATATGAAATATATTCCTGTAATATGTGACAACTACCATGGTTTTCCCCACTCATCTTCATGAGCTGCAAAAACAGCGAGGATGAGCCTTGCTTCTGTTTTTAAAACATGGCAAGAATGGTGGATCCAAATATCCATGCAAGATGACATCTCTGGCTGTTTTATTGCCATCATTGCAAATCATCCCCAGAAGTCTATTACATAAGGTAATCGGTACATAGAAGCATGTAACCATTGTGAAACACAACACAGGCTTGCTGTTTTATATCAAGAATGTGCCCTGCATGTTGCAAACACCTTCAAAACTATAAAGACAAAGCAGTCACCACATGCTGGTCCAACTACAGGCTCAGCTGAGTTTTCAGCCTCTTTCAGCCCCATTACCTGGCTTCACCTTGCTTCCCACGGATCTGATCCACACCAAAGCCAGAAACCATACAGATCCTGAGACCCTCTCTATGGATTGCCATGCAGCATGGATACTGCTGCAAGCACGTGTCAAGATATCACGTGAAGCTATCTCCTTTGAGTATGAAATAAGAAAGACCCATAAAAGAGCAGACTTACCCTTCTCAGCCATTGGAAACACATTTAGAAGCTAAAAGTCGACTGAATGAGGAACTTTAACAGACAGGAGCTCTTATATGGCATTTAGCATATATGGGAAGTGAGACACACTAAGGAATGGCAAGGATTTATTTACCAAACACTGATTTCAGTGTTTGCTTTGACTCATGACATCTGATCAATATCTTTCCTTCATACTGCTCGTTGAGTTGCATGAGGCAGTAATTGCTACTTCTGCTTAATGATCCTATTCCTGTGCTCCTGCCCTGTGCTATGGAGGACCGCTTTGAGGTGATGATGCTGGGGGAGACCAGGGGAAGTGGGTGAGAGGGTGAGTGTAGGGAAATGCTGAGCAAAAGTGTGGGGCAGAGGGTGGTGGTGGCCAGGTCCTACTCAGTGAAGGGCATGGAGGCTGGTTCAGCAGTGATAGCAGTGCTCGGGGATTGCTTAAGATAGTGATGTGTGGGTACCCATGGGAGGGGAAGACAAATGCTCAGAAGGCATCTGGTGGTACAACACAGCACATGGATGCCTCCAGCATCTCACTGGTGGCTCCAGTGGGAGATTTTCCAAGGAAGACATTTACATTCAAACCAGAAGCTCATCAGAATTTTGCAAGGGTGTTAGAGATACTCTGAGAAACCTTAGAGGCCCTGGGGAGAACTGTGGAGGTATGGATGTCCTAACACTTACATCTACTGTGACTGGGTTAGTCTAATGAGGGATTACGCCTCCAAATGCATTCCTTCCTCATTTTTGTATTCTATGTCCTTCCTCTAGCTTGGAAACAGCAACAAGCACCAGGGAAACTGTTCTGGAGGGCTGCATGGGACTTGTGCAGTGGCCATGCTGGTAGTGCTGCCTTGTATGATGTCCTCACTGCAGCCTGTTGTGCTCCAGCTTGAGCCCACAGCATGGCTTTTGGGCTGGATTACGTTTTTCCAGCTCTGCTGTGGGGACAGTGAGTCCCAGCATTGGTAAAAGGTCATGTCTAGGCCACATCTGGCAGGCAGAAAGCCGTGCATGGACGTGGTGGTGCTGCCCTTGGCATTTCAAGGCAGATTTCAAAAGCTCGGGCGAGGAGGGATTGATGGCCTGGAGACATGATTTGCAGTGTGTTGAGCTGCCTGAGGGACTTGCTGCTGGTTCTATTTCCTTCTGCCTGGCCTAGGGCTGATTTGCCTGACTCAGTGTGTTGAGACTTGCCCTCTGGGTAGAGATGTTCTGAGGTTTGCAAAGCTCAAGGGAAGGAGAATATGGCAGGGACATGGACATTGGCTTGGTGTTATTAACCACCCCCATGCAGCAAGAGCTGCTGTTGAGGGTCAGCCCTGATCCCTGCTTTTCAGGACTGAGCCTCCTGGGCTTGGTCATGTCTCCCAGCAGCACCTCATTGCTCCACAGACATGGTCATTGCATGCTGGTACCTCAGAGGACATGGAGCCATGAGCTGGGATGGAGCTTCACAGTCCCCAGGCACCAAAAGGATGTCGGATGCTGTGGTTGTTCCATGTTCTAGGCTGTGCTGTTGCACTGTCATGGAGAAGTGGGGAAAATGAAGGGCTATAAAGTGGGTGGCTTTAGAGCTGCACCACCAGCAATACACTATTGAAGTCAGCATGTTCGTTACAGAGAGGAGTAAAATGCCATCTCTAGCTTCCAAGAACATAAGAAAAAAGAAACTTTTTGCCAAAGACACTTAAGATATTATTACATTTATTAGATATAAAATATGCTCCTTGGAAAAGCAGCAGAACCATATCAAAAGCATTTTAACAGCACCAGGCTGTTAACCCTGGACTTCACAGCACAGAGATGCACCATCAAGGGAAGGGGAGAGCACATGGAAAGGAGCAGGCAAACAGCCAGGTCCGGAGGTACAAAGGTGACATGGCAGAGGCAGGGCTGCTCTTGCTGACTGCCAAGGCTGCCTTTGGCTGTTACTTGTGGTATCTGGGGAGCCAGTGGCAGGACTGCTTGGTTTGATGGGACTGGATGTGGGGGACGACAATAGGGCATTTCTGCTGGGAGGACTGATAGGACCCTCCGCTGCCCCCTCCAGAGCTGATGATGATTGTCTGGCCTGAGGAGCCACCACTGTATCCTCCGCTGCAGCATCCAGATGAGCCTCCTCCACCACCTGAGCTGATGATGATCTGGCCAGATCCCCCACTGGATCCACCGCTGTAACCTCCTCCTATACCATAGCTTGAGGAGCCCCCACTGCAGCCTCCAGAGTATCCTCCACTGCTTCCACCTCCAATGATGCTCTTTGATCCTGAATACCCACCACTGGATCCTCCACTGCAGCCTCCAGAGTACCCTCCACTGCTTCCACCTCCAATGATGCTCTTTGATCCTGAATACCCACCACTGGATCCTCCACTACAGCCTCCAGAGTACCCTCCACTACCTCCACCTCCAATGATGCTCTTTGATCCTGAATACCCACCACTGGATCCTCCACTACAGCCTCCAGAGTATCCTCCACTGCTTCCACCTCCAATGATGCTCTTTGATCCTGAATACCCACCACTGGATCCTCCACTGCAGCCTCCAGAGTACCCTCCACTACCTCCACCTCCAATGATGCTCTTTGATCCTGAATACCCACCACTGGATCCTCCACTGCAGCCTCCAGAGTATCCTCCACTGCTTCCACCTCCAATGATGCTCTTTGATCCTGAATACCCACCACTGGATCCTCCACTACAGCCTCCAGAGTATCCTCCACTGCTTCCACCTCCAATGATGCTCTTTGATCCTGAATACCCACCACTGGATCCTCCACTACAGCCTCCAGAGTATCCTCCACTGCTTCCACCTCCAATGATGCTCTTTGATCCTGAATACCCACCACTGGATCCCCCACTGCAGCATCCTCCTCCACCACCTGAACTAACAATGATCTTCTGGCCAGATCCCCCACAGGATCCACCACCGTAGCCTCCTCCCATGCCATAGCTTGAGGAGCTTCCACTGCAGCAGGATCCACCTCCTCCACCCCCAGAGCTGACGATGATCTTGCCACCGCCGTAGCTGCCTGAGCCCCCACAGTAGGAGGAGCCCCCGCTGTGGCAACCACTGGATTGATAGGACATTCCATGGCAGCCTCCGGAGCTCTGTCTGGAGCACATCTTTGAGCAGGGACCCTGCAAGAAACAGTGCTGTCAGAAAGGAGCACCTTGGAGATGCTGCTGAACCTTCATAGCAAACCAGAGATGGAGCAGTAACCAGGAAATGCCCCATCTTCCCCTTCTTCTGCAGTCCTATGAGACTGGCAGCTCCATAAACTCCCTCACCCTTGTTAGGCAGCAGGGAAGACCTCAAATGAAAAGCACCCATGGCCTGGTCTGCAGATCACAACAGGTATGGAAATACTCTTCATGCAGGGAGACTGAGAGCACTTCTAGAGATCTGCACATGTGCTCTGACATGTTGAGAGCCAGCAGTCTAAAAGGTTTAGTCCCACTCTAGATCCTTCTGGATGTCCAGACTGCTAAAACTCACAGCAGCTGAAAATTCAACCCTTAGAATGCTAGCTACAACTCCCTTTTGCAGGGAGTCCAGTCCAGTTGGCACACCAAATTGGTCTGCCATGAACCCCATCCAGTGTTGAGCCAGGATGGTTCCCTCATTCAAAGCATGCTCAAAGACCAACTGGTGGAGCAGCCTCTTTGCATCGGGATCAAAAGTTTTCCATATCAATGGGCTTACCTTGAGTGCAAATGGAAATGTGTGCAAGGCTCCGTTGCAGGTGAATGAAGAGCCTTGGGATAGGTGAGCTTTTATATCAATACATTAAGCTCTTAAGGGAAGTGAGACACCCTATGGAATGCTGATAGATTTATTTATGAGCCTGGCTTTAGATACCTCCTTCTTTGACTCACTTGAAGCATATAGGTGCTGACGAAGGAGATGTATCAATCATGTTCTTCATCGCTGTTGATAATTCTACTCAATGATTCATTTTCAGGAGTCTAGCTCCGAAACTTAGGGTCAAACATCTTCTGGGGGTCCCCTTTGGTGGCTCCCCAATGCATTGCTGCGAGGCTGTAGCTTTTTGGGTACTCAGTAGGGTGGAGACAAAGCAGATGCTGAGGGATGGAGGCTGAAGTGAGTTAGGCTTGGAGTGTGATGGAAGGAGAAAGGTAAAGGATGCTCCAGAGTAGGGTCCCAGGGAATTCTGGGGGAAAGAGGGTTTCTTCAAAAACTGGAAAGATGGGGAGCTAGGTGGGGAGCAGGCCTGTGTCCAGTCCCTTAGGAAAGGCAACTGTGTGGTCAACAGGCCAGAGCTACAACCTGTAATGGGCAGTGCACTGCTTTGGAGCACTTCAGCCCAAATCCATTTCAGAGGGCCCCATGAGGGTTGCAAAGACGTGGTGGCCACTTCCCTTCACCATTTTGGGTCCCCAGGGTGAATTCTGCTGTTGGATTGAGCAGAGGTTATCCGTGTTCAGCCCCAGCTTCCTGGAGTCCCAATCACCCCTTTCTTTGCAAAGGTGCATTTGAAGGCCATCAAGACCCTACCCTTGAACTCTAGAACATTCAACATCTCTTCTGTCTCAGCAAGACCTATTTTCTGAGGGTCCTGCTTCATGCCTGGGGCTGGGGAGGTATCTAGGTCTTTTGCTTGCTGGAGAATGACAGTTTGTGAGAGTTATTGCAGTGCTGGCTGCTGTATTTGCAGCAGCTTCACCCTGTCACTGCGTCACGCGTGCTTAAAGGTTGACAATAGCATCCACCCTCAATGGAGACTGAGTAGAGGAAAGAATAATTGGGGGGTTTTAGTCAAGCGGATGCATGACAGCAGCAGCAGACAGCCCAGCCCTGTCACAATGGAAATGATGGTGAGCATGGATGCAACTCCATTGGTACGGGGACGGGACCATCAACACCAGGAACATGGGTTCAAGGGGCTTCCTTCATTTTGCTTTGGACTCCCTCCAGTGGCCTTAGCTCCACTCTCATCACCAATGGGAAATTGAAGGTCTCAGTGCAACTCTGGCTCTAACCTGTGAAATCAGTCTGGGCGTTGTGCTACAGCATCACAACACCTTGATCCCTTCCGTGACTTCACCCTGTAGGGACTTGCACAAAGGGGCACCTAGGATTTACAGCTCATTGGGATCCAGGGTGTGAGGGAAGGCTGTGGAAGCTTTTGCCAAGGGTGGTGAGAAGTGGTCATGCAAACGCTGCTGTGTAGAGACCCCAGGGCTGAACCCTGCAGGGACTGGAAACATGGGACCTGTAGGGGACACATGTGTAGTGCTTGCCACACATGGAGGAAGGTGGTTGGAACCACAGCTGCTGGAGAGGTCAACATTGCCACCACTTCCCCTAGGATAAAGAGGAAGAGTTTTGGGTGAAGGCAAGGATGAATGCAAGAGGATTTGTGGTGGAGGCTGCCTCAAATGTGGGCCACGCTGCCTGTTTTCTGATGCTGTCTGGACTCTTTTCAGCCCTATAGACCAGTCACCCTCAGGGTGGGCAGACAGGTCAAATTGCCTTTCAGTCTCACCATTGCAAACACCACAATGGGTAGTGCCTTGATGGGCATTGCTATGAGAGAAATAAAACCTTACCCAGCTCCTACAGCTTCCCAGCAGCTTCCTTCATGCAGATCAATGCCAACACTGATAGAATGGGACGTGGTAAAGTACTTGTGTAAGGAGAGCTCTCTAGCTCCAAAAAGCAGAAATTGTTCAGTCAACTCAAGTGACTTGAGATCCCTCAAGTGTTTGGATCCCTTAGTTTTGTTTCCTACCTACCAGTTGGATGTGTAAGATGGATAAAAACATCCACTTAGCTTAAAATGTCCTGAATGGAAGACTGTCATCACATGTATCCTGAAGAGGAACTCCTGCTGACCTTAGCACAAATGCTACTGAATGTTGCCTACCATAATTAATGGTTGTCTTGTGACAGATCTAGAGCAATGGGGCCAATGAAACCCAACTGTATTTCCAAAGGGTGCTATCGTCTGCCCTGGCAACTCCTGCAGTGAAACCCAGAGCCTGTGATCTGCTTCCTTCTCTGGGCAGGGGAACCGAGGTGGAGGCATTTCCCAGGTTAAAGTTGGAGCCTTTATTTGCCAGAGGGACAACAGTCATCTGCTTAAGAAACAGGGTTTTTCCCAAGCAAGACCTGTTCAGAACCCTCTGCTCCAGCACTCAGGTTGAAGAACATTTCACAGAGGAAAGTATTTGATGTGTTATTCACTTTCTGAAAGTAAACATGGGACTGACAAAGGATGAAAGCAACCGTGAAAAACCAGTTCTCTTAGTACACAGTAATCTTTATTTGCCTTCATATGAATGGGACAGAAGATCCATGTGAGAGGTCACAGCACAGGGGTATAGCATCAAGGGAAGACAAGGGGAGAGGACATGCAGGGAGGAAACAGGCAGATATGGAAGACAAAGGCAGCGATGTTCTTGATGACAACAGGGCTTCTGTGCCTGTTACTTCTGCTGGCTGGAGGGCCAGTGGCAGGACTGCTTGGTTTGATGGGACTGGATGTGGGGGATGACAATAGGGCATTTCTGCTGGGAGGACTGGTAGGAGCCTCCGCTGCCTCCTCCAGAGCTGATGACGATTGTCTGGCCTGAGGAACCACCACTGCCACCACTGGATCCTCCACTGCAGCATCCAGAGGAACTGCCACCACTTCCGCCTCCAATGATGATCGTGCCTCCTGAAGACCCTCCACTGGATCCCCCACTGCAGCAGCCTCCAGATGAGCCTCCTCCTCCACCACCTGAGCTAATAATGATCTTCTGTCCAGATCCCCCACTGGATCCCCCACTGTAGCCTCCTCCCGTGCCATAGCTTGAGGAGCCCCCACTGCAGCATCCAGAGGAACCTCCACTGCTTCCACCTCCAATGGTGCTCTTTGATCCTGAATACCCACCACTGGATCCCCCACTATAGCCTCCAGAGGATCCCCCACTACCTCCACCTACAATGATAATACCGCCTCCTGAAGACCCACCAGTGGATCCCCCACTGCAGCAGCCTCCAGATGAGCCTCCACTGCCTCCTCCACCTCCAATGATGCTCTTTGATCCTGAATACCCACCACTGGATCCTCCACTATAGCCTCCAGAGTATCCTCCACTGCTTCCACCTCCAATGATGCTCTTTGATCCTGAATACCCACCACTGGATCCTCCACTGCAGCCTCCAGAGGATCCCCCACTACCTCCACCTACAATGATGATACTGCCTCCTGAAGACCCACCACTGGATCCCCCACTGCAGCATCCAGAGGAACCTCCACTACCTCCACCTCCAATGATGCTCTTTGATCCTGAAGACCCACCACTGGATCCTCCTCCCATGCTGGATCCTCCACTACAACATCCAGAGGAACCGCCACCACCTCCACCTCCAATGATGATCTTGCCCCCTGTAGACCCACCACTGGATCCCCCACTGCAGCAGCCTCCAGATGAGCCTCCTCCTCCACCACCTGAGCTAACAATGATCTTCTGGCCAGATCCCCCACTGGATCCACCACCGTAGCCTCCTCCCGTGCCATAGCTTGAGGAGCCCCCACTGCAGCAGGAGCCTCCTCCTCCACCCCCAGAGCTGACGATGATCTTGCCGGAGCCCCCGCTGCTTCCTGAGCTGGAGCCCCCACAGCAGGAGGAGCCGCCGCTGTGGCACCCGCTGGACTGGGAGGACATCCCATGGCAGCCTCCGGAGCTCTGTCTGGAGCACATCTTTGAGCAGGGACCCTGCAAGGAGCAACACGTTTTTACTCAGGAGCAGCCATTGTCATCAGGAGAATATTCCCCAGCCAGAAGGACCCATTCACATCCCAACAACAACCTCCAGAACCAATGAACTTCCATTCGTGTAAGCAAGTGGTGCTCCATAGATCCCAGACTCACATAAAGCTTTTTGCCAACAGATTATCATGTTGCTGGTTACTCAACCCATTATTTATAGAGTCCTTCATCCGATGGCTGTTCCATCTCCATCTCTATACTAACAAAACACATCACTGAGTAGCATGGGATGATCCTGAACCTTCTTGTCCTTCAAGCCACCACCCATCAGATGCACTTTACCAAAGCATTTATGTATTGCAAGCATGAAAGTAAGCGAAGATCCATTCCTTTTGGCAGAA